TGAACATTAAAATGACATATAACATAACCACATTTATTTAAGAATGTATTCCAATAGCAAATGGCAAAGTGGAACAATGCAAAACCGCAATTACTTTTGCACCAACCTAATAGTATCAATAAATTCTATTTACTGTATTAGAAGGCACTGTTTACTATCAAGAATTTCCATACTTCAGATAGTTCAGAGTCATTCATCAGTGTGACCATTAGATAAACTTTCCAAGCTAATATAGGGTTTCCCAGTTTCATCTTGGTACAGATATTTGTTCTACTAGCAATTATTTAATAAACATAGGTTGTTGTGAATCTATATGAGGCGCTAACCATTTTCAAGTGATCTCAGACTTGCTTATTCACTTTTTCTATTTGATTTGTCAAAGCCAGTTATTTTTTGAGGAGATGTATATTTTTATCTAATCTGCTATAATCTAGGCTATAGTTCAGTGTAACTACCTTGGTTGGGCTTCCCTGATGGCTCAGATGGTAAAGAATCTGCATGCAATGCAGCAAACCCGAGTTCGATCCCCAGATTGGGAAGATCCTTTGGAAAAGGTAATGGCTACCCACTCCAGTATTCTTGCCTGGCAAATCCCATGAACAGAGGAACCTGGCAGGCTACAGTCCATGGGGGTCACAAAGAGTTGGACACAACTGAGTGACTAAGCAGGCATGCACACATAGGTGAAGGTATTAAATGATACAGTTTCGAATAAGACTTCTGGTGATATTTTATCCCTGGTTTATGTTTAATATATCTATACATTTATATAAAAGCAGGCCCACATGTTTAGTTGTATGGTTTGTGCACTGCACAATTATACCCAGTTGGGGAGAAGGTTAGTACAGCCTAAACCTGTGCTCAGTTTGTCACTGTATTGCCTTGGAAGGGCTGCATCTCTCACAACACTTTTTTCCAATTTCTGAGTGAAAGGGGCTGTATAGGTCAGCAGCAACCCTGTTCATGGGAAGGAAGTTTAGCAAAGCTGGGACTTCTTTTGTCATTAGTCTTAAATGATACTGCAGTAAATTTCTACTCCAAGTCTGGGTAGCTTACAAGCTTAAAAGCTAATAGTTTTTTGTTTCTTTTTTTCAAGTTTATTTTTATTTATTTACTTGGCTTCTTCAGCTTCTAGTTGTGGCACATGGGATCTTTGTCGCATCACATGGGATCTTCCGTTGCAGCACACGGGCTCTCCAGTTGAGGAGCATGGGCTCAATAGTTGTGGCGTGGGGGCTTAGTTGCCCCACGGCATGTGGGATCATCACTCCCCAACCAAGGACCAAACCCATATCCCCTGCATTGCAAGGTGGATTCCTAACACTGGACTACCAGGGAATTCCCTGCTTTTCAATTAAACATTCATGATCCATAAATACACAGCTTTCTTAACTTTAGGAGCTTTAGTGTAAATGCATGAACCTTCCAGCTTCACACAATGTAGGAGGACATACATATGTCTAGGGTCCTATCTTTGGCAATGACCAAAGTACCTTATAAGATATAAAACAAATTAGAATTTCGTATAACTCACCTAGTTTTCCAAATCACAGCTTTTCAAAATAGGCTTTCCTAGCCAAGTATGCATGAATTGATGGTTTCAATTGCTGCTGACCACAGGGTATTCTTTGGGTAGTCCCACCTAGTGTGTCAGGAAGGGGCAGCCTTGCCTGGATCAACAGACAGATGCAGCCAGAGGTGAACCAGGACCCTTACCTGACAGAACACAATTTGGACGGTATTTTGTAAAAGGACGACGGGCAAGGAATTAAGATTGCTTCAATTCCACCTCTGAAGAGTACATGCTTTTCTAAAGCCACCTGGCCACACATACCCCCTACACAGATGCATCATCATTTGATTTACTGGATTTTTATTACACTTACTCTGGGCTCAGTTCTGGCATGTTTGAGATATTTTTTCTACTTTTTTTTTTTTTTTGCTTCAACCCTTGACTAGGATACAGAATGGATCTACCTGAATGACAGAGAAGAGAGAACCAGCCTAAATGGTTGGGTGACCTAGTCCCAAAATAAGGCTTGATTCTCAAAAGAAAATGTGGTGAAAGCATAAAAAGAGAAAAAGGATTCATTTCTTTTTTATAGATTGTTTTTTAATACTTATTTTTGGCTGTGTTGGGTCTTAGTTGCAGCATGTCAGCTTCTCTCCAGCTGTGTGCAAGCTTAGTTCCCTCGAGGCACATGGGATCTTAGTTCCCTGACCAGGGATCAAACCAGAGTTCCCTGCACTGGATGGTGGATTTTTTTTTTTTCTGCATTGGTTCTTCATTGCTGCAAGTGGGCTGTCTCTAGTTGTGGGGCGAATAGGGGCTACTTTCTAGCTGCAGTGGCTTCTCTTATTGCAGGGCACAGGCTCTAGGGTGCATGGGCTTAGTTGCCCTGTGGCATGTGGAATCCTCCCAGACCAGGGATCAAACCCGTGTCCCCTGCATTGGCAGGCACATTCTTTACCATTGGACCACCAGGGAATTCCCCAATAATTCGTTTCTTGAGCCCTACTATGTGGGGACCATGTGGCCCTGTGCCACCCAGTCAACAAACTTTGGAAAGCTGTGTCATGTTAGGTGCTAGGAATACAGTGAATAAAACAGACACCCTGCCCTATGACACTTATGATCTAGTGTCTAATAAATAATCATGCAAGTCATATTTGGGATGAGTGTCACAGAGGAAGGGTATATGGAGCTCTGGGAGTGTGCCCTAGGAAACTGGAAAAGGGAAGACACTTGAAGAAAGGGTGGAGAATGGACTAAAGGGAGCCAGTGTGGATGAAGGGACACCAGGTAGAAAGAATGCAGCAGCCTGAGTCAGAGATAATGGTGGGTAGGGATGCTAGAGATAGAAAAAAATCAAATATATCTGTGTCATACACAAATAAGCAGATTTGGGGGGAATTATCGTCAAGGCTATGGTTTTTCCAGTAGTCAGGTATAGATGTGAGAGTTGGATGGTGAAGAAAGCTGAGCACCAAAGAATTGATGCTTTTGAACTGTGGTGTTGGAGAAGACTCTTGAGAGTCTCTTGGACTGCGAGGAGATCCAACCAGTCCATCTTAAAGGAGATCAGTCCTGGGTGTTCATTGGAAGGACTGATGCTGAAGCTGAAACTCCAATACTTTGGCCACCTCATGTGAAGAGTTGACTTACTGGAAAAGACCCTGATGCTGGGAGGGATTGGGGGCAGGAAGAGAAGGGGACAACAGAGGATGAGATGGCTGGATGGCATCACCGGCTCGATGGACACGAGTTTGAGTAAACACCAGGAGTTGGTGATGGATAGGGAGGCCTGGTGTGCTGCCATTCATGGGGTCGCAAAGAGTCAGACACGACTGAGCAACTGAACTTAACTGATCATCAAGTAAGTTTTGGATGTGTTGAGTTTGAAGTCCATGTGAGATGCATATCCTGTTAGAGAGCTTAAGGATAGTGAAAAATGTGGATCTGCAGGTCAGCTGAGAGATTTGGGGTGAAGACATAAATTTGAGAATCAAAAGTGCACATGGCATTTTGTTGTTGTTTTTTGGTTGCTCTGGGTCTTCATTGCTGTGCATAGGCTTTCTCAAATTGCGGTGAGTGAGGGCTACTCATTTTTGCAGAGCACAGGCTCTAGGCACACTAGTTACAGTAGTTGCAGTATGCAGGCTCAGTAGTTGTGGCACACGGGCTTTAGTTGCTCCACAGCATGTGGAATCTTCCTGGACCAGGGATTGAACCCATGTCCCCTGCACTGGCAGGTGGATTCTTATTCATAGTTCCACCTGGGAAACCTACTATACATGGTATTTGAAGCTATGTGAGTGGATTACTCATGGAAGAGGGTCTCAGACTGAGTCCTAGAAACCAAACTATTTAAGGACTAGTTAGAAGAATTTTGAACAACAAAGTCACCTCCAACCAAAAAGAATAATCAGTCACCTGAAAAGGAAGTCTAGGGTAAGCGTCTATGGTTGCCAGTAGCTGGGCTGGGTTCAGCTGTGGCTGTTGGCAGGGCTGGTGATGTGGTCCTTCCCGGGGAGTGGAGTGTAGTAACTGACCCAGCGCTGCACTGAGGCAGCAGGCTCCATATTGGAGCCCACTGGCATTAGTCCCCACGGAATGCAGTTACATATTTCATGTCCTTGTTGGGGTCTAATAGCCTAGCTTAGGATCCCGGTCCTCCACCGAAGAGATGGCTGATTGTGTGAAAGTCTCTTAAAACTAAATGTTGGATTATACATCTGTAAAATGTAGGACTGTCTTAAGGGTTACTACCATGCTGTAGTATGAATCTTAATTATATTGGATTTCCTTAATAGGATCATTCCTGTAAGAGGGCCTGGCCCAGGCCTGCCAGGGGTACCTTAAAGCTTCCGGACAGACCTGAGGAGTCAGCCTCTCTTCTGGATCCCTCTTCCACTGGCCAATTCAACGTGGAACAAGGAATCATCCAACTTTCCTCCCCTTCCTGGTCATCTGGCCCAGAGAACCTGTTTGTCTTAGAGGTGGGGACAGGTTCCTCTGCCTTATGCCACCTCAGTTTTTCAGACTAGGTGTGGCAGAACAAGCAATGGACCAAGACCTTTTATACTAGATGAAAACAACCACCCATTGTAAAGGTGAGAATTGAAAAGGAGTTCAGAGTGCTTTAATTCTACCTCTGAACAATACCCCTCTCAGAAACCACTCTGCCACCACACCCAGTACATATATGTCGTTAAGTTCCTCCCTGGCCGCTGGAGAACCTTCCTAGAAAGGTCATCACTGCCTGTCCTGAAGTCCACTTTATTCCAGTAAACTTACCCCCATTTAACTTTCTCCCCACTTCAATTCATCCCCAGACTTCTCAAAGAACATTTCTGCTAGAGAGAAAAGATGAGTTTTTAGGGAGCTTGGAGAAAATGAGTTAAAACTAAGTCATTGGGCCAAACTAGATGGCTGGTAAGTCACCAACCTATGAAGATACATTCCTGCCCAGTTCAGACGTGGGCCTCACCTCTCTCTCATGGATCACTGTACCCCATCTCTGGGTCCCCTTCCTCCACTGTTTCCCTCTCCAGCATCCATACCACACATGGCCTGCTACAACGGACTCTTGAAAACAGGTATGGACTTGTTAAAACTCCAAAGGATCAAGTTAAAACTTCAGGTTCAAGGCCCCGTCTCAGGAATCTCTAATTTATCTTTGCATCCTCAGCTCCCAATATTTACTCTGCCAACCACATTAAACTTGGAATGTTCCCCAGCCATGTCCTGTTTATCCCCACCTCTGTACCTCTGCCCAGACTGCCTTCTCCCTCTCCACTGCTCCTTACCTGCTGGGAAAACCCCCAAACCCATGTGGTAGGTTAAATATGGCCACACATTTTTGGAACTTACATCTTGGCTGGTGTTGGGACTTGCTTTGACCAACAGAATGTGGTGAAAATGACATGATACAAGTTCTAATGCCCAGGCCTCAGGAGGCCTGTAGCCTCCACTGGGACAATCTTGGAACCCCAAGACCAACATGCCATGACAAAGCCCAGGACAAAAGAGTGCAGGAGAGCAAGGCCAGTGCCCCAGTTTCCAGCTTACACATTAGCTGAACAGAGCCATGTGAAAGACAGCCCAGGTGGGTCCACCAAAAGAACCTCCCAGGTAACACAGAATCTTGAGAAATAAAAATACTGGTTGTTTTAAGCATTTGTTTAATGCTTGGGATAGTTTCTTACATAGCAGTAGATAACAGATACAATGCAGTTCTAATGCGAAGTAACCTCTGTCAAGTTTCCCAGTCAAGAACCTTCTCTAAGTGCCCCGAAGTGTTTTCTACACATCATATCACTTCATAGTCATTTACTATCTGGCTCTCCCGAGATACACTGAGCTCTGAGGATGAGGTCCGAATCTGATTCAACCTCCCTCCCAACCACTCGTGGTGCCATGCTCAGTACTCTCAGATACCATGAATGTGTCTAGCAGGTATGCCTAGATGAACATTTTACATGCAAATTACTCAACAAAGATTTTTAAAGCACATCCTATATTAACGAAACAGGTCCTAGGCCCTGGAATTCCTCTCAGTCTAGCAGGAAAACTGCTCATTACAATACAGATTTGAAGTGTTGGAGGCAAGTGTATTGCTGGAGTGTACAAGGCAACTGGTGGGTGGGGGAGTCAAGAAAACCCCTAGAAGAAATGACGTTTAGCCTCATCATAAAGGGTGAGCAAGCTGTCACTGCTGGAAGGAAGCTTGTGGGCATGTCCCCACCCCCTACCCCCCTTATCCAAGGGAGGAGGGATGCATGGATTGGTCAGGTTCACAAACAGTCCGGGAGGTGGGGCCTCAGCTTGTGATGAGAAAAGGGGGTTTAAGGCAGGTCCCAGTCTGGGGATGACTCCTGTCTATTTCTTCTCTCTCAGACATTCAAGGTAAGATGGGGACTTGGGCTTCTTCCTATTAACAAGGAGGTGCATTTTCTGCCCCTCCCTGCCCCACTCTCCTTAGAGTGCTAACCAGAGGGCAGCCAAGCGAACAGGAACCAGGGCAAAGCCCCAGGGTTAGGGCTCTATGTTGGGTGCTGGGGCCAAAAGTAATAAAAGGTGTGTTCACCTGCCATATCTGTGGTCCATATTCAGGAATACCTTGGGGTGGTAGGGGGCTGGAGGAATCTATGTTCCAGTCATCTGCCACTTGGCATCAAACCAGAGGAGAGAAAAACCAACAGGAACTTTTCCTGTTCCCAGGAAAGTAAGGCAGATAATCCCAGGTGGAGTGAAGAGAATTAAACACGTGGAGCGATGAGTGAGAAAGGAGCACAGAGAGAAGCTCACAAAGGAACGCTATACAGTCCTGCGTGAGAAGGCTGGACCTAACTCACAAAAGATGACCTGCTTTGCCCCGTAAACATTCCTGTGTTAGCCAACTGCTGACGTTCCTAGGGTACTCACTACATGCCAGGCATGGTTCTAAGTGCCTTACACCAATCAACTCATAATACCCTGGGAGGATGTGTATCTCTTATATCCTCTGTGACAAATAACTTGCCCAAGGTCCCCAAATGAGGAACCTGAGGTTCAAAAATTTCAACTAAGTGGCAGGTCTGTCCTCTTTGACCAACTTTGCTACTCAGAAGCTGTGGTATCTATCAACATTGATAGGACTTCCCTGGCGGTTCAGTAGTTAAGACTCTGTACTTCCAATGCAGGGGGTGCAGGTTCAATCCCTGGTTGGGAAACTAAGATCCCACATGCCTCATGGCACAGCCAGAAAATTTAAAAATGAAACAACAACAACATAAAACTGTGATACAGGTTCTGCTGAGATGGACTTACCAGGAGGCATCCTGCTGGAGGTGGTATTTGAAGAACAAGGGATCAGGGCCTGCAGAGGCTATGACAGCTTAAAGTGCAGGAACTTCACAGTGCCTAGAAAAGTGGACGGGGAGTAGGGAGGAATCCAGGAAAAAGAATCACAGAGAACGTCCCCAGAGCTTCACAATGTCAGTACCCAAGAACAGATGGTCAGCAAACCAGTACCACCGTTAGGAACAGGAACCGGCTCAACCTTTTCCTTAGTTTCCTATCAAAAGGTGGCCGAGATCCAGGTTCCTGAATCAATTTTATCAAAGTAAATGCAGGTTAAATGAAACAAGAATTATTGTTCAAAGTCTACTATGTGAGACTATTCTCCTTCTAGAAACAATTGTGGACAGAAAGAGGAGATAGAGAATGCTTTTTAATTATTTTCTAAAACTAGCATTTGTATGGTACTCTAGCACTGACAGTATTATTTTCTTGCTCTAGATTTTACTGAGAGATGAATGTTAACTCTTCAATTTTTCAGAGGAGAAAACTGAAACCTAGAAGGTTAACACATTTATACAAAGTCACACAGCTAATGAAAGCTGGGATTCACACCCAAGTTATTCAGACTCCAAATTCTATCCTCATTCATTCTTTTACTCTTTCATTCATTGGGGGGAAAAGGTATTGCATCCCCTGAATGTTCCAAGTACAGGACTAGTCACTGAGCATACTTTCATGATAAAATAGCTTATTTTCTGTTTCTCTTTTTTCAGTGCATTAAACACTGAAGCAGGAATCCATGAAAAGGAAACTACATCTAGTATTTCTCATGGGATTCAGTGATTACAGTTTTTTCAAGGTTCTCCCACTTTTATTTGTACCTAACTCCTGCCATTATTTCATGGAACACCTGCTCTGTGCCCATCTTGGGCTGGACATTGTGTATGGGCTGTAACAACCAGGCATGAGACTACAGTTTGATCCAGTAATATCTACTATGTGCAAACAACTCAATCCGAGAATATTTACTGAACACATTATCTGGGCAAATTACTCATTCAATAATATTTACTGGTACCTCTGATAATCATAATAGCTAATATTTACTGAACACTTGAATCCTATGGACAGAGGAGCCTGGTGGGCTGCTGTCCATAGGGTCGCACAGAGTCGGACATGACTGAAGCGACTTAGCATGCATTTATTGGAGAAGGAAATGGAAACCCATTCCAGTGTTCTTGCCTGGAGAATCCCAGGGACAGATGAGCCTGGTGGGCTGCCATCTATGGAGTCACAGAGTCGGACACGACTGAAGTGACTTAGCAGCAGAAGCAGCAGCAACTGAACACTTACTATCCGCCAAGTACTATGCTAAATTCTTTACAGACATTATCATTTAAATATCTCAATGATTTTTAAAATATTTACTTTTATTTGGTTGCACTAGGTCTCAGTTGGGGCATGTGAGATCTTCAATCTTCATTGCAGCACATGGGATCTAGTTCCCTGACCAGGGACTGAACCCAAACCCCTGCAATGGAAGGACAGAGTCTTCCACTTCCAGTCTTAACCACTGGACCAACAGGGGAGTCCCAGTAACTCTTAAGAGGTAGCAATTTGACAGCTTAAATCAACAGGCTCAGCACATGCAGTTAGAAAGTGGCAGAGGCAGAATTTGAACCAGGCAGCCAGTATTTTCCCCCAGTATTCTGTCCTAACTCCCACCCTGGGAAGGGCAGGAGGGAGACAGTAGTGAACAACACAGATGCCATCCCTGCCCTCAGGGTGCTTACAGACTAGGAGGGAAGATAAATTTTGAACAAATAACCTCCCCCAAGGACATACCTGTTCAAGTGGAAGTAGAGGGTGAGGAGGCCATTAAACAGGTGAGGGAGAGAAAGGGAGGTCCATCCCAGCAGTGGAACACCATGAGGGAAAGCTCCAAGGCAGAAAGAGGATGGCAGTCCCAAGCTGTGATTCGACTACAGCCAGGGCAGATGGATGACAGTGAGGAGCTGTAGAAAAGAGCATGGGGAGTGGCCTGTAAACTGACATTGTTCAGAGTTATCCCAGCTGCTCTAGGGGACAGATCAACTGAGAGCAAGAAAGTGTGTGGTGAGACCAAGCAGAAGGTTCATCTGAGAAGCAGATGCTAGCTTAGATTAGCCTGTTGATAGTGGGAATGGAAGGGGACAGACTGATCAAATATTTAGGAGTCAGGATTTACCAGGCTTGGGGGGGTGGGGGCGAGGTGAGCGAAAGGAGGGGGATAAATTACAATTTGGGGCTTGAACAACTCAGTGGGGGTGGAACTCTGGGAAGGAAGACCAGAGTTCAGGTTGTATCTGAGGTGGCTGTGGACCACCATACAGAGCTGGTAAGTAATAGGTGGTTGGTTGGACATATGGTTCTGGAGCCTGGAGGTGCTAAAAGCAAAGGAAATCAGCTTGCACAAAGGTGAAAAGAGTGTCTAGGACAGAGCCCTGGAGGAGTCCCCCTGGCCCCGTGCCATTAAAAGATGATAGAAAGGAAGAAAGGAGCAAAGACAGCTGCAAGACATGCTTAAAGAGGGAGGAGGAAAGCCAGGAGAGAGTGGTGTTCCTGAAATACGGAGCAGTGTGTTCAAGAAGGGCAGGACCTGGTGTGACTGAATTTAGCAGGCAGTACATACAGGTAAGGTTGTTGTGATCTGGGATTTGTCCTGAGGTGTCCCCATGAAGGCAGGGCTTGAGGTTCACCCAGGCAGACCGGGGGATTTGGATACACACAGGAGAGGGCCTGACCTGGTATGTGTGGGGAAAAGAAACTAACACCAGCAGATAGAAATAGAAAGAGGTGGGGCCAGAGGATGAAGAGGGTAAAGAATTGGTGCCATTCACTGACTGGCTAGTTCATGCTCATTTAATGCTCTAAACTACCCTGCGTGGGAGGAGCTACCAACCCTTTGGTAGAGAGGAGAACACTCAGCGCTAGAGATCTGAAATGACTTGTTCAAGATGATACATGGAAGTGGTGATGAGTGAATTCTAACCTGAGTCTGAGTCCAGGACTGTCACCTCATGCCTCTTTGACTCTGGTGGCAAAGAGGGAAATAGGTCACAGAGGGTCAGGGCTCAACAAGGGTAGAGAGGAGGGAATAGGCCTGGAGAGATCTGGATGCAGTTTCAACAAGGTGTGGAAAGTAGGTGTAAGCTGAGGGTGGGGTAGACAGTCAGGGTATTTAGTTGGAGCAACTGAGCAGAAAGAGGTTCCAGTCATTGAAGAGGATTCACAGGGAAGACAAAGGCTTTGACTTGGACTTGATGAGTCCGCCCGGCCTACACGAGTGACAAGCAGAGGTAGATGTCAGGAGGTGAAAAGATACACAGATTTGAACGTCAGAAAACTCGAGACTGTGGGAGATAAGATAAGCTTCAGTACGGTTTTTTACCTTCTTAACAACAAAGTTGAGAAGGGGCTGGTTCTGGAAGAGACGTGACAAGGGAAGGGCGTCATTCTGCTGATTCAAAGACTACTCCAAGCTCACTTTGATTGGTTCCCCCCACAGATGGCCTTTCCCCGCCACAGGTCCCTGAAACCCAAGATCCTGACCTGCCTTCTGGTGGGTTTGAGTTTCTCGCTCCTGCATCACTGGTTCTTCGGAGCCCCCAGGTTTCAACAGGAGCAGAGATCGGATGGGTTCCAGCAGGTGACCCATGTGGCCCCTGCTGCCACGTCGCCGTCCAGCCCAGGGCCTCCGTGCGTGGCCAACGCCTCGGCGAACGCCACGGCTGACTTTGAGAAGCTGCCCGCGCGCATCCAAGACTTCCTGCGGTACCGCCACTGCCGCCACTTTCCGCTGCTCTGGGACGCGCCGGCCAAGTGTAGGGGCAGCCGCGGGCCCTTCCTGCTGCTGGCCGTGAAGTCGTCGCCGGCCAACTTCGAGCGGCGCGAGCTCATCCGCCGCACGTGGGGGCAGGAGCGCAGCTACGGCGGGCGGCCGGTGCGCCGCCTCTTCCTGCTGGGTACGCCCGCACCCGAGGACGCCGAGCGCGCAGAGCAGCTGGCGGAGCTGGCCGCGCTGGAGGCGCATGAGCATGGCGACGTGCTGCAGTGGGCCTTCACCGACACCTTCCTCAACCTCACGCTCAAGCACGTGCACCTGCTCGACTGGCTGGAGGCCCGCTGCCCGCACGCGCGCTTCCTTCTCAGCGGCGACGACGACGTCTTCGTGCACACGGCCAACGTGCTCCGCTTCCTGGAGGCAAAGTCGCCCGACCGCCACCTCTTCGCCGGGCAGCTCATGAGCGGCTCCGTGCCCATCCGCGAGAGCTGGAGCAAGTACTTCGTGCCCCCGCAGCTCTTCCCCGGGTCCGTCTACCCCGTGTACTGCAGCGGCGGCGGCTTCCTCCTGTCCCGCCACACGGCCCAGGCCCTGCGCCAGGCCGCGCGCCGCACCCCGCTCTTCCCCATCGACGACGCCTACATGGGCATGTGTCTGGAGCGCGTCGGCCTGAAGCCCAGCGGCCACGACGGCGTCCGGCCTTTCGGCGTGCAGCTGCCCGGCGCCCGGCAGCCCTCCTTTGACCCCTGCATGTACCGCGAGCTGCTGCTGGCGCACCGCTTCGCGCCCTATGAGATGCTGCTCATGTGGAAGGCGCTGCACGACCCCAGGCTGAGCTGTCACCGGGGGCACAGGGTCCCTTGAGGCTGGAGGTCAGTGTGGGGGTGCCGTGGGGGTCAGTCGTGAGGAAACTAGGAAAGGCGGTGACTGGGGAATCTGGGAAGACACTATTGAGGAAGCCTTTGGAATGTCAGTGTTAAGGGGTCGTGTTTGGGGGATGGGGCGTCTGATTAGTAAGTCTGAAGGACAGCGATTAGCGAGTGAGCTGGGAGAGACCCAGGTCCCATTCCTGGGTCCGGAAGATCCCCTGGAGGAGGACGTGGCAACTACTCCAGTATTCTTGCCTGGAGAATCCCATGGACAGAGGAGCCTGGTGGGCTATGGTCCATAAAGTCGCAAAGAATTGAACACGACTGAAGTCACTCACAGGCACACAAGGGCACCTAGACTCTGTTGTGAACCAAACCTCCATTGGAGGTGGGGGCTGGGGGGTCGGGTCAGTAACCAGACTCTGAGGATCAGGCTGTGGCCCTGACTTCAGGAGCTGCCAGTTGTTGGCAAAGTACAAAAATCAAAACAGCTTGAAAATGAGGCAGAAATGTGTGCTGTCAAGGCCCCAACTATGTAAGATGGACAAGAAGGGCTGAGCGTCAAGGAAGAAAGCCTGCATGAGAAGCCAGGAGCCTGACCTGATGCCTTCCCTGCCCTCAGGAGGAGGTCCAGTCTTCCCCCCCCCCCCCCCCCGCCGCCGTGGACCCCCTCTGGCATAACCATGTACTTTGTCATTTGGTCGGGCCCTCTCCCAGCCCTGCATCTTTGCAAGCTTTCATCCCTTTACTGGAAATGTCCACCAGCCATCACTGGCCAAGTCTCTTGTCTGGATGAGGAGGCCTGCAAGGGGCTGGGGAGCTGTCCACCGAACTCTGTTACTCGCTTCCTCCTGGGCACGCACGTAAACTATACTTCCCAGACTCCCTTGAAGTGAGTTGTGGGCATGTGACCAGCCTGTCTTCATGTCTGTGTGTAGTTGTAAAGAAGACCCCTCCTGAACCCAGGCCTCACTTGTGCTCACTTTCTCCTTCCCCCTGATTGGCACATGGATGAGCCTATAACCTTGCAGATGCCTGGGTTCCTCAACCTTGGCACAATTGCCATTCTGAGTTCTTTGCTGTAAAGGGCTGTCCTGTGCTTTGGAGAACATTTAGTCATATTCCTGTCCTCTGGCTGCTAGATGCCAGCATCACACCCCAAGTTATAACAACCAAAAATATCTCTGAAGTTTGCCAAATGTACCCTGGTGAGTGGGGCTTCCCTGGTGGCTCAGATGGTAAAGAATCTGCCTGCAACGCAGGAGGCCGGGGCTCCATCCCTGGGTTGGGAAGATCCCCTGGAGAAGGAAATGGCTACCCCCTCCAGTATTCTGGCCTGGAGATTTCCACGGACAGAGGAGCCTGGCAGGCTACAGTCCATGGGTTGCAAAGAATTGGACATGGCTGAGCGACTTTCACTTTCACCCTGGTGAGCAAAGTCACCTCTAGTGTGAACTGCTGACCTAGAGGAAGGCAGGAAAACAAGAGGGCTTCCTAGTTCACTGCAGGGAGCAGGGCTGCTTGTGGACTAACCTGGAATACTCAGCTCATACTACTGAGAAGAACAAAATAAACTTTTATGTTTTTTGAGCCTCTTGGATTTTGTTGACACTTTGTTAGGGCAACCTTGGTAACGTAGTGTGTCCTCTCTGATCCCTGTTTCCACCCAACCAGACTGGCTGCTCCCAGAGGGAGGGACCATGTCTGAATCACGTCCAGTGATAACCCATGGAGGGAGGCCTGGCATCCTGCAGGCTCACTCTTGGCTTGGGAGGCGGAAGGAGCAGGAGGAAGAGGCACCGTCCAAGCAACCTTTCTACAGTCCTGGACATGGATCCCCAGGAGCCATGGCCACTTGTCCCTTGACGGCCTTGCTTCTGAGCAGGGTCTGGCTCATAGTATTTCCTAAATGCTTTAAGGGTGAAAAAATGAATGGATGGTGCCCATCTGTCCCAGTGGTATGAACTGTATCCATCAGGACAGTGTACTAGTTTCCTATCATGGCTGTAACAAATTGCCACAGATTTTGGAGCTTAAAGACACATTCATAGTTATTATCTTATAGTCCTACATATCAGAAATCCAAAATGAGTCTTGCTGGGCTAAAAGTCAAGGTGTCAGGCCTGCATTCCTTCTGGAAGATTCCAGGGCAGAATTTGTTCCCTGCCTCTTCCAACTTCTAGAGACTGCCCACGTTCCTTGGTTTGGGGCTTCCTTCCATCTCCAGAGGCAAAAGTCACATCACTCTGACCTCTGCTTCCCTTGGACCCATGTCTTCTGACTCTCCTACCTTCCCTTTCATTTATAAGGATTCTTGTGATCACACTGGGTCTGCCTGCATAATCCAAAATTATCTTTCTGTCTTAAAGTCCACCAATCAGCAACCTTCATTAATTCTTTTTTTTTTCCCATGTAACCTAACATATCCATAGCTTTCAGGGATTAGGGCCTAGACATTTTTTTTGGTGGGGACATTATTTCACTTACCATCAGTCAGTCAGTCGATCAGTTCAGTCACTCAGTCATGTCTGACTCTTTGTGACCCCAAGGACTGCAGCACACCAGGCCTCCCTGTCCATCACCAACTCCCAGAGTTTACTCAAACTCATGTCCATTGAGTCAGTGATGCCATCCAACCATTTCATCCTCTTTAGTCCCCTTCTCTTCCTGTCTTCAGTCTTTCCCAGCATCAGGGTCTTTTCAGATGAGTCAGTTCTTCCAATCAGGTGGCCAAAGTATTGGAGTTTCAGCTTCAGCATCAGTCCCTCCAGTGTACACCCAGGACTGATCTCCTTTAGGATGGACTGATTGGATCTCCTTGCAGTCCAAGGGACTCTCAAGAGTCTTCTCCAACACCACAGTTCAAAAGCATCAATTCTTCGGCGCTCAGCTTTCTTTATAGTCCATCTCTCACATCCATACATGACCACTGGAAAAACCATAGTCTTGACTAGACAAGGCCTTTGTTGACAAAGTAATGTCTCTGCTTTTTAATATGCTGTCTAGATTGGTCATGACTTTCCTTCCAAGGAGTAAGCGTCTTTTAATTTCATGGCTATAATCACCATCTGCAGTGATTTTGGAGCCATCAGTCAGTCAGTAGGTCAGCTACTGTTTCCACTGTTTGCCCATGTATTTGCCATGACGTGATGGGACCGGATGCCATGATCTTAGTTTTCTGAATGTTGTGCTTTAAGCCAACTTTTTCACTCTCCTTTTTCACTTTCATCAAGCGGCTCTTTAACAGACAAGAAAACAAGAATCCTGAGGCCAGGAGAGGACACCTCTGCATCTTTGGAAAAGTCTGAATTCTGTGCTTTGACAGCTTCCTCCCATTTCCCTGACAGTCAGATGGATTATCCCCACTTGATGGATAAAAAGATTTAAGAGTCCGGGACCTCACAGCTCAGAAGGATCAGAACACCTCATTTATAGGCCTACTTTGTCACTCTGGGTCCTGGTCAGCCCCTCTCGGAAGCTGAGCTGCTCCCACACCAGGCCCAGCGAAGGCCCAGGGCACGCGCAGCCCTGGCACCTCTTGATGTCAGCCGGTTCCCTCCCCTCACCTGGCCCTGATCACCCGTCCCCACAAAGCCTGCCTGGCTCATAGGGCTCTTTTGAGATCCGCAGCCACCAGGTGGCGCGCCCTGCACACCATTTCCTCGCGGTGGCGGCGGCTGGTCCTTGAATCCGGAAACTCTGGGCCCTGGGGGTCTGCGCCGCCAACTCCCTTCGCTAGGCTAGCCTAGCTGACAAGAACCCCACGAGTAAGGAAAATGATACGCCTGTCTCACTAACAAACACAGATGCAAAATTCTACACGAAATGCTAATACACAATGTGGCAATATGTAAAAAGGATGACATAGCACCTAGACGGATTTATCTCAGAAATGTGAGGTGGGCCTAGCATTAGAAAAGGAATCAGAATATATGGATAAAATAGGAATATCCATCAATGTGGTAAATCGCATCAAGAGAAATATGAATTTCTCAGGTGTGGGGCGGCTGGGGGGGGGGGGGATTTGTGATAAAATTCAACATCCGTTTGTGATTTAAAGAAAATCTTAGTGAAAGGTGGAAGCATTTCCTTTGAGTCTGAAAAGACTGCATGTACCCATCATCACCACTGTTCAACTGTCCAAGGCTTGAGAGCACAGCAAGGTAAGGTAAAGGTTTAAAATGATACTGAGGTAATTCCCTGGCGGCCCACTGATTAGGCCTCTGCCCTTTCACTGCAGAGGAGTGGACAAAAAAAAATTTTTTTTAATGATAGTGACTTGAAAAAAAATTATGAAAACTTCAGAGGTTTGTAACCCTATTAGATCCCATTTCTCCATAAAATTAATGCTGTACTCCCTATCCTGAAATGAAATTCTTTGATAGTATTTTCAAAAAATGAATATAATTCTTTCATTGTAATATAAAGTGTTAATAAAATAAATAATATGTATTATGATGTGTAAATTCTCGGGCACAACTAACTCCCTTACAAATTTTCAAATCTCCCTCTAGGGGGCATTACACCTCATTGAGAAACAGCCTACTTTAGAAAACCCACCAAAACACACAAATCCTACAGTTAATTGATTAAAATAATTTTAAAATGTGGCAATTTTTCCAGTACAAAATCAATGTACAAAAATAAATTTAATTTCTATATAGTAACAAGCAATCAGGGGAAGTCATTTTGTAAAAGTACCATTTATAGTAGAAATAAAAATACAAACGTGAAAGTGAAAGTCACCCAGTCATGTCCAGCTCTTTGCGACCCCATGGACCATACAGTCCATGGGATCTTCAGGCCAGAATACTTGAGTGGGTAGCCTTTCCCTTCTCCAAGGGATCTTCCCAAGCCAGGGATCGAACCCAGATCTCCCACATTGCAGACAGATTCTTTACCAGCTGAGCCACAAGGGAAGCCCCAAAGCAATCAGGAAAAGTCATTTTGCAAAAGTACCATTTATAGTAGAAATAAAAATATACCTAGGACTGAATCTAAAAGTGATGCAGTTAAGATATGTTAAAAATATGTATGTCAAGGCTGTATACTGTCACCCTGCTTATTTAGCTTATATGCAGAGTACATCATGCAAAATGCCGGGCTGGATGAAACACAAGCTGGAATCAAGATTGCTGGGAGAAATATCAATAACCTCAGATATGCAGATGACACCACACTTATGGCTGAAAGCGAAGAGGAACTAAAGAGTCTCTTGATTAAAGTGAAAGAGGAGAGTGAAAAAACTGGCTTAAAACTCAACATTCAAAAAATCATGGCATCTGGTCCCATCATTTCATGGCAAATAGATAGGGGAACAATGGAAACAGTGACAGACTTTATTTTCTTGAGCTCCAAAATCACTGCAGTTGGAGACTGCAGCCATAAAATTAAAAGACGCTTGCTCCTGGGAACAGAAGCTATGACCAACCTGACAGCATATTAAAAAGCAGACACATTACTTTGCCAACAAAGGTGCATCTAGTCGAAGCTATGATTTTTGCAGTAGTCATGTATGGATGTGAGAGTTGGACTATAAAGAATACTGAACGCCGAAGAATTGATGCTTTCGAACTGTGGTGTGGGAGAAGACTCTTGAGAGTCCCTTGGACAGCAAGGAGATCAAATCAGTCAATCCTAAAGAAAATCAGTCCTGAATATTCATTGGAAGGACTAATGCTGAAGCTGAAACTCCGATACTTTGGCCACCTGATTGGAAGAACTGACTCATCTGAAAAGATCCTGATGCTGGGAAAGATTGAAGGCAGGAAGAGAAGGGGAGGAAAGAGGATGAAATGGTTGGATGGCATCACTGACTTGATACTGACTTGATGGACAAGAGTTTGAGAGAACCCCGGGAGCTGGTAATGGAGATGGAAGCCTGGCATGCTGCAGTCCATGGGGTCGGACACGACTGAGCGACTGAAATGAACTGACTGAATATTTATTTACTTTTGGTTGCACTAGGTCTTCTTTGCTGCGAGAGGGCTTTCTCTAGTTGCAGCAAGCAAGGGCTACTCTTCATTGTTTTGCATGGGTTTCTTGTTGCGATGGCTTCTTTTGTTGCAGAGCACAGACTCTAGGCACAAGCTTCAGTAGTTGCTGAATGTGGGCTCAGTAGTTGGGGCACAAGAGCTTAGTTGCTGCTTGCCATGTGGAATCTGCCAGACCTGGAATCTTCCAGCCCTGGGATCAAGCCCATGTCCCCTGCATTAGCAGGCAGATTCTTATCCACCAGGTAAGTGCTAAACATCTTAATTAACATACAGAGATAGCATGTTACAAAGCACCTCCAAGCCCCTGAATTCCTTGTATCTTCCCCCCATCCAGGGAACAGGGATTATTATCATTCCCATTGGGCAGATGTGGAGACTGAGGCCCAGGTAAATGAATGACCTGCCCAAAGTCACCAAGACTGCTGGACCCTGACTACTGCCCCAGGCACCATGCTGGACAGCCACCAAACCCAGAGCTGAAGCAGTTGCCTAAAGAGGCAAACAGCACCACCGTCCCCTCACCCCGCAGAACATCATTTGTGTAAAATCTCCTCAGCCTTACCCATCTCAGCTGCACTTGGGAGCAGGAGGTGAAGGTTGAACTCAAAGGTAAGGCCCCACCTCAGTTTCATTTACAGGATGGTTCTGTAGTGATGATGACCCTCTTCTCCCCTCCAGCCAGACTCAGCCTGGCCTTGGAGTAACAAACAGGCCCACTGACCTGTTTTTCCAGCAGAACAGCCGTCTTTCCAGAAGGTTAGTTCTCATACTCCCAAGAACACAGAAACGATGTCAGTTTTTAAAATGTCTGTTTGTTTGTTTGTTTGTTTTTCCTTTACTCCTGGTGTCAAGTGTTTGGAGCTATAGGTAGGAGATTGGATGTGTGTTCTAGAAAGTTCATTTGGCTGTGGGACAAGGGATCTGAGGGGCGGGAGGGGTCCTGGGGGGAATGAGGAGGTGATGAGTAAGGGGTCTGTGAGAGAGGAAGAAGCGGGGGGAGTCCAGAGGTCTGGGGAGATGGAATGGGCAGGGCGTGAACTCTGAGGCGGGGGCCGTGGGAGGGGAGCGGGGTGCTTGTCAGGACTGACAGGAAGGCTGGCTCAGGTCTGGCCCTTGGGGTAGGGTGATGGGGCACGGAGGCGTCAATCATGGAAAAGCTCTGTGGGCACTGCCCAGGGAGAGTGAGTTGTCCTGGGAGTCTCGGGGGCTCGCAGGGCCCCTCACAGCACACGCCAACCGCCTGGGGCCCTCCCTCACTCACCCCACAGCTCCCCAGCATGCAGCAGAGGACAGGAAGCCCCGAGTGTCTTCAGAATATTCCACACTGGGTGTCAGCTACGCTCCCCTCCCCGCCCCCTCCCCGCCCCTGACCCCCTCCATAGCAGCCACGTGAGGGCTGGAGGCCCTGCCGCAGGGCAAGACCCAGCTGACGGCTTCTGAAGCACCCCACCCCACCCCTGCGTGAGCAGTTCTGGGCTCTGCACAGTGGGGAGAAGGGAGCCCCCCAAGCTCTCAGAGATGAGAGACAGCTACCTGCATGGTCTGAGACTCCTGACACAGCACCCACCCCCCAATCCTGGCTCACATGGGCGTCCAGGGGTCCTCCCACAGTGGGGCATGTGTTCCCTCTCACCCCTCAGGGCCCTCCCAGGTGCTAGAGTACCCAAACCTGCAACAAAATCCAGAAACTTCTTAAGCAAATGAGCTCCTGTCCCCAGCTGCCCCAGGGGAAACCGCCTTTTCCTGGCTTCCCTCTGGACCTCAATGTCTCCTAAGCCCCACCAGGACCCTCTGGGCACCCAGTTCAACAGTACAGTCCCCCTATTCCTCACCTCCCCCTCCCCACCTCCATGCTGAGCTGGGAGCTTCGAGCCACTTTGGGAGTCCACACTCTGCCCCAGGGAGGGCCAGGGGCAGGTGCCACCTCCTCTGGGTCCCAGACGGTCCAGGAAAGACCCACACATCTTTACTCCCCGACCGCACCCACAGGTGCTGGCCTGGGCAGGACACTGGAGAGTCCAGGAACCACTGGATCCAGCTGCCCCTCCTCGGCAGGGGCTCTGGGCACCAGATCCACTTCAGCACCATCTGTCTGCTGAGGCCGTGGGCAGTGTATTCCCACCAAGACGAGCTCCAGGATCTGCAACTCACAGGGCTTGACGTGGGAGGATCAAGGGCCTCGTGCGTGTGCTCTGCGCTCTTTGGAAAACTGGTAGTTTCACATGGCTTCACTCCATGACCCAGTAATTCCATTCCTAGGTGTCTACCCAAGAGAATTGAAAACATGTGTCACACAAACACTTGCAGCTGAATGTCCCTAACAGCATTATCCATAATAGGCCCAAGGTGGAAAAATTCCAAGTGTCCATCAAAGGATGAATAGATAAACAAAATGTGGTAAATACACACAGAGGAACATTATGCAGCCATGAAAAGAAACGAAGTTCTGATTCATGCTACCATGTCAATAAACCATGAAAACAGTATGCTAGGTGAAAGAAGCTGGATTCTATTTATATGAAATGTCTAGATAGTCAAATCCATAGGGATAGAAAGCAAATGAGTGGATTTGTTTTCTTTCTTTCTTTCTTTTTTTTTTTGGTCACTTTGCATGTAGGATCTTAGTTTCCTGACCAGAGGTTAAATGCAGTGGCCCCTGCAGTGGAAGCGCAGAATCTTAACTACAACTTCGTGAATAAACTAAAATCCACTGAGTTTGATACTTTAAGGTGGGGATTTTTTATGGTATAAAAATCATCTCAATAATGGCATTTTAAAAGATACAGTCAGAAGAGAGACCTCCCTCCTCCCCTGTTCCTGTAACTTTCCATCCCCTCTACCTTCTAGCCTGCCTCCATCACATCACTGTCTCATCTGCTTCTGTCCCGTTTCCTTTGCACTGAAGAGAGACAATTATATATGTTCTATAGGCTCTCCCTTATGTGAAGAAGCCCACACTGTATAGATGATCTTGGCTTTTGCTTTTCTTCACTTAATAGTCCTTGCTGAAATTCATGCCATACAAACCCAGAGATCTTGATCATTCTTTTTCTTTTCTTCCTCCACCACCTTTTTTTTTTTTTTTTACAACTGCTAGTGCTCCTTTGTATAGATATGCTATGGTTTATCCAACCACTCTCCATGTAGGAGTACACTGTTCCCAGTATTTTTAATAATTTTATTTATTTATTTTGGGCTGTGCTGGGTCTTTGTTGCTATGTGGGCTTTTCTCTAGTCGCGGTGAGCAGGGGCTACTCTCTCGTTGTGATGCACAGGCTTCTTATTGCGGTGGCTTCTCTTGTTGCAGAGCGAGGGCTCTAGGGCGTGGGCTTAAGTAATTTCGGCATGTGGGCTCAGTAGTTGTGGCTCCGGGACTCTGGAGCACAGGCTCAATAGCTGTGGTGCAGGGGCTTGGTTGCTCCTTGGTATGTGGGATCTTCTCAGGTCAGGGATCAAGCCTTGTCTCCTGCACTGGCAGGTAGTCTTTACCAATGAGCCACCCTGGAAGCCCATATTGTTCCCAGTATTTTGCAATTAAGAAGTAATGCTTCAGTGAAAAATCTTGTGCATATGTATTTTCACCTTGTTGGAGGTCTAGCTTCAGGATAAATTCCTAGAAGTAGAGTTGCTGGGTTCAAGGGTGAGCATGTATTTAATTTCATTAGGTATTGCCAAATTTTCCTAGAGAGAATTGCACCAATTTGCATTCCCATCAGCAATGTATTCCAGCACCTGTTTCCCTTCAACCTGGACAGCAGAATGTATTGTGATTTTTTTTTTTTCCAGTCTGAATAGGTGAGAAATGGTACCTATCTCAGTGTTGTTTTCAGTTGCCTTTCAGTTGCCTTTCCTTGAGCATTTTTCCCCATATGTTTGAGGACCACTTTTATATCTTTTCTGGTAAACTGTCTATTCATGCCTTCACCTTATTTTATTACTGGATTTTTTAGTTTTGTTTTCGTTTTTAAGAGTTACTTGTGTATTAGGGATATCTGCCCTTCGTGGTATTACGTTGAGAATATTTTCCTTCAGTTTGTCAGTTATCTGTGGGCTTTATGTGTCATGCAGAGTTTTTAAATTTTCATGTGTCATGTCCGACTCTTTGCAACCACATAGGCTGTAGCCCGCCAGGCTCTTCTGTCCATGGAATTCTCCAGGCAAGACTACTGGAGTGGGTAGTCATTCCCTTCTCCAGGGAATTTCCCCAACCCAGAGCTTGAACTCAGGTCTCCTGCATTGCAGGCATATTCCTTACTGTCTGAGCCACCAGGGGTAAATTTTCACAAAGTCAAATTTACTGGTCTTTTCTTTACATCCTCTGAGTTTTCAGTCCTAGTTAGAAAGCCTTACCCAATATCAGAGTTAAAGAGGAAGTCCCACTGTTTTCTTCTGGTCTTTGTGTCATTTTAGTTTTTACACTTAGAGCCCTAATCCATATTGTTTATTCTTTTGTTGGGTGTGACACATGGATTTAATTTTATCTTTTTCCAAATGGCTACCCCATTGTCCCAGTATCGTTTATAACAAAGTCCATTTTTAGAGTGTATCAAAGATGGCATCTCATATCACTAGGGTAAAGATGTATTTGTCTATTTCTAAATTTCTGGTCTATTGCAATTTGCCTATTCATGTACCAGTGCCACCCATTTCTATTGACAGAAGCTTTCACTTTTTTAATCTCTGCTAAAGCTACTTCCTGCTCATAGTTTTTCTTTTCCAGTGTTTTCCTACCTATTCTTGCATGTTTATCTTTCCAGATGGACTTTTCAACTCATATATCTTCATAAAACAGCTTGCTGGTATTTTTATTTGGATTGTATTGAATTTACAAATTAACTTAGGGAGAACTGACATTTTGTAATATTGACTTATCCTTTCCAAGAATAGGAGATGTCTTTCCATTTGTTCTTAGTGTCTTTCAAGAAGGTTTTAAAATTTTCCTCGTGTATTTTTATGCATTTCTTGTTAAATTTGTTCCTAAGCATTTAATTTTCTTTTATTGTGAAAAGGCTTTTCTCCACCTTTATGACCTCTGTTTATTGTTTGTTTATATAAAGGCCATTGAATTTTGTATTTTAATTTTGTATCCTGCTCTTTCAGCAAACTCTGTTACTATTTGAATTAGTTCTGTCATTGCTTCTCTGGGTTTTTTTTTTTTTCCAGGTATAACATTATATGATCTGCAAATAGATATATATTTTTCTCTTCTTTACTCAGTCTTAGGTCTTAAATTGGTTTATTTTGTCTAGTTGTATTGGCTAATACCTCTGGTACAATGTAGAATAGTGGTGTAGACAGTATATTCTTGCCTTGTTCCTGATCTTCCAGTGTTTCTTGGTTAAATAAGATGTTGGCTTTAAGGCTACATTTTACCATGTTGAGAACATATCCCTCTATCCCTCCCTATTTCACTGACAGATTTTATTATGAATTGGTGTTGAATTTTGTTAAAGACGGTCTTGGCATCTATAGAAAAAATCATCGGACTTCCCTGGTGGTCCAGTGGTTAAGACTCCATGCTTCCACTGCAGGGGGCATGGGTTTGATCCCTGGTTGGAGAGTTAAGATCCCACGTGCCAGAGGAGGAGCCAAGATGGCGGAGGAATAGGACGGGGAGACCACTTTCTCCCCTACAAATTCATCGAAAGAACATTTGAACGCTGAGCAAACTTCACAAAACAACTTCTGGCCGCTAGCAGAAGACATCAGGTGCCCAGAAAAGCAGCCCATCATCTTCGAAAGGAGGTAGGACAAAATATAAAAGATAAAAAGACAGACAAAAGAGCTAGGGACGGAGGTCCGTCCCAGGAAGGGAGTCATATTAGAGGAAGTTTCCAAACACCAGGAAACCCTCACACTGGCGGGTCTGGGGGAAGTTTTCGAATCTTGGAGGGCAACCTAACTGGGAGGAAAAATATATAAAACTCACAGATTACATGCCTAAAAGCAACTCCCAGCAGAAAAGTACCCTAGACGCCTGCATCCGCCACCAGCAAGTGGGGGCGGAATGGAGAGGAGCAGGCAGCAGTGCTTAGGGTAAGGACTGGGCCTGAGTGCCCTGAGGGCAATCAGAGGGAGCTAACATGAGATAGCAACTTAAACTGTGGGATAGCAAGAGAGAGAGAGAGAAAATTAACCGGCCCAAACACACAGCCAGCCGTTCGCAGAACAAAGGGACTGAGCAATTCCAGAGAAGAGCTAGCTAGCTGCGGACTGGCCCATCCCCGCCGGAGGCAGGAGGCAGGGGGGAGGGGAAAGGGCCAAGCTCGGCCCCAGAGACGGCACCCCCACGAAACTGCAAACAGGCCTCCAGACTGAGACTTCCTGAGATTCTGGATGGTCAACATCTGCCGGGACGGTCTCAGCTAAACACAAGGCGCACACACCCGACTGGCGCGGGCAGAAACTGAGGCTGGGGCCATGGAGGGGAGAAGGCACGTCGCACACAGGGAGAGTGCGCCCGTCAAGCTCCTGGCTGCCTGAGCTGCCTGAGCTGGGAAGGCACAAAACGCAGGCCCAATCGAATCTGTACTTTTGTGGAGTACACAAAAACTGGAACCGCACACAACACAGGGCCCGCTCCATATAGAGCAGCCGGGAGCCTGAGCAGTGTAGACGGGGAGAGCACACACCCGTGAGCGGGGGCAAACCCAGTGTGGCCGGAAAACTGTGAGTGCTCCCCACACACAGCAATATCTGTCTGCAGCACCCCTCTCTCCCCGCAGCGCGACTGAACCAGCAAACCTAAACAAGAGATCACCTCTGCCCGCCTGTGTCAGGGCGGAAATTAGACACTGAAGAGACCAGCAAACAGAAGCCAAATAAACAAAGGGAACCGCTTCAGAAGGGACCGGTGCAACAGATTAAAATCCCTGTAGATAACACTGACTACACCGGAAGGGGCCTATAGGTATCGAGAAGTATAAGCTGGAATGAGGAGCTATCTGAAACTGAACTGAACCCA